TTGTTGCAATCTGCTGGACAGATTTAACTTACTGACAATATAGAAGGATTTGTTGCAATCTGCTGGACAGAATCCTTCAATAGCGGAACTCATGATAGATTCTTCAACCACTTGGTTTAACTCCTCTAATCCGTCTTCACCACCAGATTCAGCATTCAATCCTGAAGGAATTGAGTCTTTGTCACAAACTCTGATTTCTAATCCCTTTATCTTTGGAATCTAAAGTCGTAGACCTTTGACATTTCAAACTATGACTTCTGTTAGATCGAATAATAATATCAAAGGTTTACGACAGTGGGTTCCAAAGATATAGGGATTAGAAAATCAGAGTTTGTGGCAAGGACTCAATTCCTTTATGGGAACAATTTAAAATACCAAAACGTGGAGCTTGGAATTGATAAAAGAACTCTGAACCCCCCCCCCCTTCCATGTACAGTGGTAGGCGACTATATCAATAAAGATTACGTTCGATTTCAATTTTGACGTATTTCAAGCCGTTAAACAGCATAGATAAACGTAACCATAGAAGTCAAGAGAAGCTGTTAATTAAAAAAGATTTTCTTTGACTACTTGTAAGCTTGTAAGTCGAAAAAAAACTTGTAAACAATCAAAACTTAAATAAAAAAGTCGTCTCCATTGTATTGATATAATCGCCTACCACTTTATGATGTCCTTTCGCTATTCCAGTTTAGATTAGGTTAAGACAGATAGATCGGGTCATTGAGGTTTCACATATATTTAAACAGAAGAGGAGGGGGCAGGAGGAGGCCTTATTTGCTGGAAATCATTTCATTTATCATCTTTGAGAATCTAATGTTACATATGTAAGGGAAGCACGACACTATTAGATACTGGGTTACCCACTAAGGATGAGACTCCAAAGATGACTGTAAAGAAATTACACTGTCTATTTCTTTATATTCATGATTCCCTGTAATTGTAAACAAGTTTCTTCCTTTGCTAATTCATTTTATAAACAAAACAAACTATATTCAAAGACTTGATTTAAGCTTGGAACCGTCATATTTTAAGAGTTTTAGGTTTCTTTACATTCTCATCATTTGTGAGGCAACAACTTTTCCGTCCATTGTTTCTCCGTAATATAGCATTTACTGCACAGAAAACTGAACTAGGTGGGAAAATGTTTGAAATCTGACTGAAAAGGAGACAATTATGTTTTCTATGGTTATCCACCGCTAGCTATTTACCCGAGATTGGAGACGGAACGTCGTCTTCTATATTATCCCACCATTTCTCAACTCTGGAGGCGTTCATATCTCTGGCAGCTTGTTCAATACAAGAACATTCAGTGTACATTTTTATTTTCTAAACAAATCTTTTTTATGTTTGTTTTCTCTGTTAATATATTTATTTGAAAAAAGATTAATTTCAAATTGAGGTATGGAAAAAGCGTTATATTAGTTTTTGCATTTAAGTTAGTAGATATATGATTACACTAGTTTTGTTCATGTTAGCGTAATCTTTACTTTTAATAGTTCCAGTAAATTGAAAGATCAACAAAAAATAATAAAATTAAAAATATAAAGCTTTAAAATCAAAAATCTCCTTGCCATGAAAAAAAGGAATAAAGTTTAAACGAAACGGTTACATTTAAAATGCGAAAATTTTAGGTGTGTAAAAAAAGATTGTCATGTTTTCTTACCTTACTCTTTTTTCCTCTGCTTTTAATTGGGATTGAACTTCTGAAATATTTTTTTAAAATGAAAAATCAAATATATTCGATGAACGCACAGTGTAAACTTTTAACAAATCCTAAATATTTTATAAAAATTGTGTTAAAATATAATATATTAACTTGATTTAAACTTCAGTAAAGCTAATCCATAAAAATATCTTTAATAATTACTTTTTAAGGAAAGGAAACCTTAATTGAGGTTTTAAATTAACAGCCGCAATTTTATTTTTTTATTTTTGTATTCTCATTTTATAATTTTCTATTCGTATTCTCAATTTATAATTTTCTATTCGTATTCTCATTTTATAATTTTCTTTTCATATTCTAATTTTATAATTTTCTATTCGTATTCTCATTTTATAATTTTCTATTCGTATTCTCATTTTATAATTTTCTATTCGTATTCTCATTTTATAATTTTCTATTCGTATTCTTATTTTATAATTTTCTTTTCGTATTCTAATTTTATAATTTTCTATTTGTATTCTCAATTTGTAATTTTCTATTCGTATTCTCATTTTATAATTTTCTATTCATATTCTCATTTTATAATTTTCTATTCATATTCTCATTTTATTATTTTCTATTCATATTCTTATTTTAAAATTTTTTTATTCGTATTCTCATTTTATAATGCTCTATTCGTATTCTCATTTTATAATTTTCTATTTGTATTCTCAATTTTTAATTTTCTATTCGTATTCTCATTTTATAATTTTCTATTCATATTCTCATTTTATAATTTTCTATTCTTATTCTCATTTTATAATTTTCTATGCGTTTTCTCATTTTATAATTTTCTATTCTTATTCTCATTTTATAAATCTTCAAATTTGTTGAATTAATCTTTCAGAGATTTTTCTTTTCACTATTGAACGCTAAAAGGGACAATAGATTTCCACTTAATTCCTTCTGTAGGATAACAGTAGAATTCTTGGAATCTGGGCTATAGTGAATGTTCGTGAAAAATTAAAAGAGGTTTTGCCAAAAATAGATAAAAAGATTTAAAATATGCAATAAGATTTTTTTAGAGAGTACGTTATGATTTAGATCTTTTTTTAAAAAGTACGTGATGATTTACATTTATTTAGAGAGTACGTGATGATTTAGATCTTTTTTAGGGAGTACGTGATGATTTAGATCTTTTTTAGAGAATACGTGATGATTTAGATCTTTTTAGAGAGTACGTGATAATTTACATCTTTTTAGAGAGTACGTGATGATTTAGATCTATTTAGAGAATACTTAATGATTTATATCTATGTAGAAAGTACGCGATGATTTAGATCTTTTTAGAGAGTACGTGATGATTTAGATCTTTTTAGAGAGTACGTGATGATTTAGATCTTTTTAGAGGGTACGTGATGATTTAGATCTTTTTTAGAGAGTACGTGATGATTTAGATCTTTTTTAGAGAGTACGTGATGATTTACATCTTTTTAGATAGTACGTGATGATTTAGATCTTTTTAGAGAGTACGTGATGATTTACACCTTTTTAAATTTTCCAGAAAGCTTAGCGCCAAACGAATAAAGCACTTAAAGAGAAAAAAAGATTTTTGTCCTAAAATATATCGCTTAGGTTAATATTTTGACACATGCTTAAAATTCCAATAAAAGTAAGATATAAAATAGTTAAAAAATTTAAAATAAAGAAGAAATTTAATTTTTGTTTCTGAAAGACGTCATTTTATTGTTCAGTAAACGTGTACCTGCATCCTGCTCCACACGGAGAATAGAACATAGTTACACCGTCTTCGGAGCAAACAGGGTCAAACTTGGACTCTATGGTAAACCATAAATAATAAAGAAATTGAGTTTTGGCAACCAACTCAAATTTTTTAGTTCTTATATCTTTGCAACCTGATGATGTAAACCTTTGATATTTTAACCAATAGACTAAATGATCTAAGAATATGCTAGTCAGAATTGAAGGCAAATTTGTTTTAAAAAAAAATGCGAAACAGAAAGTTGTTGAGAAGACATTATTACATATTAGTTATTTGAAATTCGGTGATGGTTATGAACCAAACCTCTGTAAAGTAAATATAGTAAATGTTATAGTGGCACATTTTATTGAAAATATATTTCGGTCTGGGTTGACCCTAGTCTCAAAATAAACAAAAACAACCCCCCCCCCTGAAAAGAAAACATCTAAGCCCCCCTCCATGGACAAATTTCTGAATAAGTCCCTGGACTGCCATTTTCTTTAGCTTTATCAAGATAACAGTAGATAGTGTAGACAGTGAACTATTTGAGAGATGATGTAAAGTGATATTTAAGAGATGATGTAAANTAAGAGATGATGTAAAGTGTCATTTTCTCGAACTTTCACTTCAAATATTATTTCTCAATATTTAAATAAACGATAAAAATCAATATTCACCTGAACAGAGACAATCATTACTGCAATTTCCCTCATACACAACCAGCTCAGTAGGACAGTTTATCTGAATCAAAACATATATTTTTAAAAACCATTACTTCAACTTCACTATATCATTCCTAACAGAAAATTATAATTTTTACCTGAACAATCAGATTCTTACCTGAAAAATTATAATTCCTGCCTAAAAAATCAGAAATCCTACCAGAAAATTATAATTCCTCATTATAATTACTACCTCAGAATTTAAATTGTACCTAAAAAATAATAATTCCTATCTGAAAAAATCAGATTTCTACCTGAAAATTATAATTCCTTCCTGAAAAATGAGATTTCTACCTGAAGAATTATAATTCCCATTTCAGAATTTATAGATTATACCTGAAAAATAATAATTCCTAGCTCAAAAATTAAAATTCCTACCTGAGAAATTATAATTCCTAGCTCAAAAATTAAAATTCCTACCTGAAAAATTATAATTCCTAGCTCAAAAATTAAAATTCCTACCTGAAAAATCATAATTCTACCTGAAAAATTATAATTCCTACCTGACAAATTATAATTTCTACCTGACAAATTATAATTCCTAGCTCAAAAATTAAAATTCCTACCTGAAAAATCATAATTCTACCTGAAAAATTATAATTCCTACCTGACAAATTATAATTTCTACCTGACAAATTATAATTCCTACCTGACAAATTATAATTTCTATCTGAAAAATTATAATTCCTAGCTCAAAAATCATAATTCTACCTGAAAAATCGCGAATATTGCCACAATTGCAATAATCCCAACAAACACGTTCCAAGCCTGCAGAGTTCGAGCTTTGAACTTATATCTTCCGATTAAATATCCACTCAGGATCAATCCTAGATATATAAAATCAATTAATCATTAATAAAAATCAAGCAAATATTGGGGGGTTTGAAAGAGAAATAACAAAACAAAAACAAAATTTGCATTGAATACGCGTATTAATTACTAGTTGCAAAAATATTGTGAGTTTGAAAAAACATGAAAATAAACACTTCCGAATTTTTTTAAAAAAGATGAAAAGACAAAATATAATAATATTCTGAATCCTATGTTCAGCTAAACTTCTCAATATCAATCTAGATATTAATATGCTTAATCTTATATAAAATATAATCAGATAGATATTTTGTGATCTTATTTCGACCATTTCAGTCGGGTTTCCCGAGCCAGAACTCAAGATTGTTTTTTTCTTTTGGTATTTTTTAAAAAGTAAATAGAAAATAATTCTTTATTAACAATCAAAACAGGGCTTTTCCCCTGGTTTGACACCAATCCAAATATATATTTTTGTTCCCATTAGATATTTGAAGGAAAAAGAAAAGCTTTTGTCTTCAGCTCCTGTTTACACAAGCAATTCGCAAATATTTATAATTTTTTCGCCAGAATTTACATTTTTTAGTTGACGTATTGTCTAAATGCTAACTGTTCTTTAAAATTTAATTATTTTTGTTTCCTTATATTTATAAATGTTGCCTGCATGGAAGTCATAAATACTCCAATTTCAATTCCAATACAAACAGAAACACATAAAGAATTCAAACTGAACAAAACTAAACATTATGATCCCTATATCTGTCGTAGATCTTTGATATTTTAAACTAGGAATTCTGTCAGACCAAATAGCCTAAGTTTGAAATATCAACGGTTTATACCATCAGGTTTCAAAGAAATAGGGAGAGCAAATTTGAGTTTGTGGCAAAAATTGAATTTCTTTGAAAACTATTTCTTAAAAAATTTTCACAGAAGTTAATCCTTAAAACCACTACTTCTGAACCCAGGTTCAAGTTAAAGAAAGCTGAGCTGAGGCCGAATTTAAAGAATTTGATCCGCAGCTTAAATTTAAACCGTGGCTCAAATATGGTTTGTTTCACTTAAAAATTGTATTACATTTTCTAAGATTTAAGCCGGCGCTCAATTTAAACCGGTTTTTGGCAGATATTATACGCGGCTCAAATTCATTAAATTCGGAAACTGGTTCAACTACGTCGATGCAGTTCAGCTTTTTCTCGATATTAATTGAATCCGAAATACACGATATTATCAACTAACCTATTGATGTTCCCAGTGCATTTGCTATCCCTGAGAATGATCCTGTGCTGGAGGCTTTCTGCCGGAATCCAAACTCAAAAACCTTATTTAGGAAATGTTTCAGCTGGTTTTAGGCCACGTAAGCCAAGATATTCACTATGCAGGCTCTCATGCAAAAATCAAGCAGTATTTTGTCAATTACTCCTTTTAAAACTTAAGTTAGAATCAAGGTTGAATTTTTAAATGTTGGTGAGGAAAAACTAAAGGCCAAGTCCTTGTTTGTGAAACGGTACCGTTGTGAATTTGATAGCACTCTTTGAATGGAGAGTTCGTTAAATTTGATAAATTTATAAAGATATTCTCAAGCAAATCTCGGGATTTGGATTACTATAAATGTAATAAATAAATGTCAATTTCTCAATACGAAATTTTATAAAAGAAATAAAAAAGCATTTGAATAACGAATTTCTCTTAAATCTTACCTTAGGGATAAAAGTAATAAATCCTATAAATCCCGCGAGCAGAGCGACTGTTGAGAGACTAGAGTAAACCCAAACTTTATTCCTGTAAAATAATTTTTTAAAATTTTAGATTTAAAAAAGAAATTGTTTACAGTCCATTAGATTTTACTTTTATTAAACCTGTTTGTATCATTCTTCATTACATTGTTGAAATGCTGTGCTATAAACTAGAATATAAAGGAATTGAGTGTTTGCCACAATCTCTGATTTTCTAAACCCTATATATTTGCAACCCAATGTCGTAGATTTTAGATATTTAAAAGTATGAATTCTGTTAGATCAAATAATGTTAGTTTGAAATATCAAAGGTTTGCACCATCAGGTTTCAAAGATATAGATATAATACTATTGAGTTTGTGGCAAAGACTCAATTCCTTTAAAAAGTTTGAAAAAAATTCTTTACAAAAAAGCGAATTTAAAATATATTTCCTAAAACAGTTTTGAATCGGTTTAAGTGTTGTTAAATATGTTAGATTATAAATATTTACCGAGCTAATCTGATAATCCGTAGTTTAGTTTCTGTTAAGTATTCTTTCAGAGGTTTATCTTCCTGTTCAAATATTTTACTTCATTTTGATTTTACTTAATCAAATTTAAACTAATAAAAGAGAAATATTCAGAGTATTTTAAAGGTTGTATTTTGAGTATTTTAAAGGAAGTAAAGAGTGTCTAAATTTGAATTTTAGGACGGATATGGAGCGATTTTTTTGCCACAAATTCCGAATTTATAATCGTTATATCATTGCAACCCGATGTCGTAGACCTAAGATATTTTTTAAACTACGAAATTTGTTGCGTCACAGGTTTACACCTACAGTTTGCGAAGATATAGGGATTAGAAAATTTTCGTTTGTGGCACCATCACAGGCTCAAGTCCTTTTATCTCCTCATAAAAACATCCTCTCCAATATTGGATCATTAAAAGACAAATGAAATAAAAATTTAACACAAAACGTTATTGTTTGTGTAGGGAAGGGTTGAAGGAACCGATGGAGGGGAGTTTCATTGAATGAATTGAATCTTTGCAACAAACTTTAATTTTATAAATCCAATATCCTTCCAACCTGATGGTGTAAACCTTAGACATTTCAAACATAGACAAAAATTCATATTTTGAAATATCTCAGGTCTACGGCATTGGGTTGCAAAGATATAAGTATTACGCAATCAGAGTTTGAAGGAAAGACAATATTCATTTCTCAATTTAAGTAAAATTTCCTGTTCTTTGTTTAGTTTCTCCAGACGCACTGCATCCGTTTCCTCATCCGTCTCTAGTCTCTCAGGGAACAGAGCTGAACATAATCAGCTGATAAAGAGCTAAACATAATCAGTTGATAGAGAGCTGAACATAATCAGCTGATGGAGAGCTGAACATAATAAGCTGATAAAGAGCTGAACAAAATCAGCTGGTAAAGAGCTAAACATAATAAGCTGATAGAGAGCTGAACATAATCAGCTTATAGAGAGCTGAACGTCATCAGCTGATAGAGAGATGAACCTAATCAGCTGATAGAGAGCTAAACATAATAAGCTGATAGAGAGTTGAACATAATCAGCTTATAGAGAGCTGAACGTCATCAGCTGATAGAGAGATGAACATAATCAGCTGATAGAGAGCGGAACATAATAAGCTTATAAAGAGCTGAACATAATCAGCTGATAGAGAGCTGAACCTAATTAGCTGATAGAGAGATGAACAAAATCAGCTGATAGAGAGCTGAACATAATCAGCTGATAGAGTGCTGAACATAATCAACTAGGATGAGAACTGAACTAAATCAGCCAGTACAGAGAACTGAACATAATCAGCTAGGATAGAGAACTCAACATAATCAGCTAGGATATAAAACTGAACATAATCAGCTAGGATAAAGAACTGAACATAATCAGTTAGGATATAGAACTGAACATTATCAGCTAGGATAGAGAACTGAACATCATCAGCTAGGATAAAGAACTGAACATAATCAGCTAGGATATAGAACTGAACATAATCAGCTAGGATATAGAACTCAACATAATCAGCTAGGATATAGAACTGAACATAATCAGCTAGGATATAGAACTCAACATAATCAGTTAGGATATAGAACTGAACATAATCAGCTAGGATAGAGAACTGAACATAATCAGCCAGAATAGAAAAACGAACATAATCAGCCAAGAAAGGAAGCTAAATTAGTAGGCTGAAAGTTAAATTTAAGAAAAAACTCTTAAAAGATCTAAATAAACAAATATTTTGTTAAACAAAATAATAAATAAAAGAACTGATGATTTGTCCCAGACTCTCCTTTTCTTTAAATTATAGCTATCAACATTTAACATTAAACATCTAAGTTCTGAAGAAGTGGAAAATACGATTAGGAGCAGAGTCATCTGTTCCTTTGTCTTCAAACTTAACAATGGTGAGCTGTTCAAATTATATTTTTGAAAATCATTTTTAGTTTAATTTTTAATTTATAGTTTTATTAAATTGTTCAATTAAACCTAACTGTGGTTGTAAACCTTATCATGCTCTTTGATTAATTCACTTTAACATGAAAATACGAAAATAAAAAGATTTAAACAGGATAACAATAATTTACAGAAAATTCGTGAATTTGCTTCTGATTTCTGTAATGTGTTACATAAATGCATTTGGTTCCTGTTATGTTATATAAAAATGCTTTTGGTTCCTGTTATGTTATATAAAAATGCATTTGGTTCCTGTTATGTTATATAAAAATGCTTTTGGCTCCTGTTATGATTTGCGTGCGGAATTGGTAGACCAAATTGAAATTTCTCTAAACCTGACAAAAAAAAGTTTCAACAACCTTTTTTTATGATGTTTCCTTCTCTATGTAAAATATATTTATCCCCTAAAATCGCCTTTTCCAGTGTTGACTTCCTGCACCCGGGTAAACTGAGTGCGGGCGTTCAAGACTAACGCGTCAGGTGAGGACGTGCGAAAAAAGTGATTTTTCTAGTGCATGAAGTGATACGAGGGTGTTCTTCATCACCTCCCAGCGCGCACGACACGAACACCTGCGCGCACTCACTTTACAGCCTGGGCCGAGGAGATCGCAAGATGCAAGATTAAATTTTATTGATTAAATAATAAATATATTATAATATGCTATTATTTTTCAACTGAAAATTGTTGCCCAATCTTTAATTCAGTATTTATAATACAATTTTTACGGATTTACAATTTTTTCCGATTGATTTTCAAAATTTTACGAAAATCAAAAAATTTTCGAAAACATTTTTTGTGATTCATAAACATTTCCTTGAGTCATGTGAGGTCAAACAAAAATTTGGGCCCGATCGGTTCAGCCGTTTTGACGTTTGTCGGTTACTAACAAGCAAACAAACACACAGATAAGTAAACACTTATAAACAAAGAATCATCCTTAAAAAATATTTGTAGAATTTTTTTCTCTCAAAAGTTTTAGAGATTTCAATTTGGTCTACGAATATATTGCAACTCACCCTGTATATAAATTCATTTTCAGTTTCTGTTATGTAATATAGAACGGAGCAATATTTGCTTTCATGCTAACAAACTGCACAAAAGTTTTGCTTGTGGGGGGGCGGGGGGGGGGGGCTACTGGATAAATGATGTCCGGGGGTAAGTGGGTTCTACTTTGTTAAAGAGAATCCTAAGAAGCATAAGACCTCTATGAACAATACAGATTTACTGGTTAAATAAAATACAATATTATGCTTTCTTATCGTTACTGAAATGGATATATCTAGTTGTTAATTACATAAGCAAGTTACTGAAGTGGATATGTCCAGTTGTAAAGTACATAAGCAAGTTACTGAAGTGGATATATCTAGTTGTTAAGTATACATAAGCAAGTTACTGAAGTGGATATGTCTAGTTGTAAAGTACATAAGCAAGTTACTGAAGTGGATATATCTAGTTGTTAAGTATACATAAGCAAGTTACTGAAGTGGATATGTCTAGTTGTTAAGTACATAAGCAAGTTACTGAAGTGGATATGTCTAGCTGTTAAGTACATAAACAAGGCCTTGAAATGAACCACGAGTTAATCTTTATATGGATATTGTTTCTCAAATTATCTACATATGAATCATCTAAACTAAAACAAATGTACATATCTATAATCTAACCATTACCTAAGAAAGGAGCAATGAAAATAGTGAGTCCGGATATTATGATAAATCCCATCCACCAGGCTCCAAGCCATCCTGGATCCCCCTCTTTAAGTCCTACATCCAACCCTGAGAAAAAAATTTCATTTAATTGTTTAGTCCTACATCCAACTCTAAGATATAAAGTAATATTAAATCCTTCCGTCCTACATCAAACCCTAAGAAATATATTTTTATTCAATTGTTTAGTCTAACATCCAACCCTGAGAAATATATTTTTATTCAATTGTTTAGTCCTACATCCAACCCTGAGAAATATATTTTTATTCAATTGTTTAGTCCTACATCCAACCCTGATAAATATATTTTTATTCTATTGTTTAGTCCTCCAACCCTGACAAATATATTTTTATTCAATTGTTTAGTCCTACATCCAACCATGAGATATAAAGTTTTATTCAATTGTTTAGTCCTATATCCAACCCTGAGATATAAAGTTTTATTCAATGGTTTAGTCCTACATCCAACCCTGAGAGATATCGTTTTATTCAATCCTCCCGTCCTACATTCAACTCTGAGAAATATATTTTATTTAAACGTGTAGTCCTACATCCAACCCTGAGAATAGAATGTAATTCAACTGACTTGCATAAAACAATGAGCTAAGTAACGTACAAGAACTGGTCTCCTCTTTAGGTGTGTCGCTAAGTATAAAAATTAATTCTGGTAAAATCTAGTAGATTTGAATTGGATGCACATTTTGTAGATACAAATCTAGACAACAATTCAACCATCCAACCATCCATCCTTCCAGCTATCCAACCATCCAATCATCCAACCATCCAACCATCCATCCTTCCAGCCATCCAACCATCCAATCATNAACATCCAACCATCCAATCATCCAATAATCCAAACATCCAACCATCCAATCATCCAATAATCCAAACATCCAACCATCCAATCATCCAATAATCCAAACATCCAACCATCCAATCATCCAATAATCCAAACATCCAACCATCCAATCATCCAATAATCCAAACATCCAACCATCCAATCATCCAATAATCCAAACATCCAACCATCCAATCATCCAATAATCCAAACATCCAACCATCCAATCATCCAATAATCCAAACATCCAACCATCCAATCATCCAATAATCCAAACATCCAACCATCCAATCATCCAATAATCCAAACATCCAACCATCCAATCATCCAATAATCCAAACATCCAACCATCCAATCATCCAATAATCCAAACATCCAACCATCCAATCATCCAATAATCCAAACATCCAACCATCCAATCATCCAATAATCCAAACATCCAACCATCCAATCATCCAATAATCCAAACATCCAACCATCCAATCATCCAATAATCCAAACATCCAACCATCCAATCATCCAATAATCCAAACATCCAACCATCCAATCATCCAATAATCCAAACATCCAACCATCCAATCATCCAATAATCCAAACATCCAACCATCCAATCATCCAATAATCCAAACATCCAACCATCCAAACATCCTCCAAACAAAGAGCAATCCAATCATTCAACCATGAAATCCAACACTCAACTCAACTCAACTCAACAACAAATTAATATATAAAAAATTGAAACTTTAATTATGGTTTCTATCTTGAATTTTTCTCTTTTGCATAAAAAATCCAATATATAATAAAGAAAATATGAACCACGTACTCAATATTCTATTATCTAAAAACACAAAGGAAAACAACTTCCGGCCTTTTTACAATATCGAATATTTACAGCGTCTATAGAATTCAATTTACAAATAAACTAGTAGAAGGTAATATAAAAATTTACAACTTACTATCTCATTATCTTAAATGCTGAGAGAATGATTACCTGGAATAACATAGAATGATAGACAGAATGTTCCAAGGATAGAGCCAAGGGCTGGACCTATGGTTCTAGCCGCGCTGATTACTCCTGCACAAAATAAAGTCACGATCAATATTTCAATTAGAATCTTAATGAACTCAGAGCTTTTCAGGCCGAGTTTGTTTGTCAAAATGTTGAAAGACGGTTCCTGCTAATTTTTTCTTGGTCTATTGGTTTATTGTTTACCTAAAATTAATGGAGAGTTTTTCTTTGGAACATTGTCATCTACGAATGGAATCCCAAAGGAGAAGTAGAATGATGTTCCAAACCCAGAAATGAAGAATCCGAAGAATATTGTGAGAAGTCCAGACCAGTCCCGCACCCTAGAGGGAGAGAGAGAAATATTAAATACAAAATGTTTTATAAATAGTTTTATTAGGAACCCTGCTTTGCCCAAATACCTTCCCTTAAAAGTTCACCTACTCAACTTAATTTTTTTAACCAAGCTAAGAAAAATTTCTGTAGTTCTACCAAGTTCATAATTTGATTTAAATCGGTGGAAAGGTTCAATTGATATGATCGGACATAAAAACTAACTAAGAGAGTTGATTAAGTAATGTATATACTATATATACAGATTTTACTAATTTTTTAATTCAAGATGCATATTCAGTTTCATACTCGGTCGTCTTTATGGTTTAATGTTTAGTGGGACGAACTGAACTTTGGCTAAATAATTTAACTCATATCTAAATTGTCTTATAATAATACTTTCTGTCTTCTACCAATATCCATCTATTTTATTTGCAGTGAACAAAAGTTAACACCTAATTTAATTGAAAAAGAGCTCGCTACAAAATATACACTTATTTTTGTTAAGCATACATTTTACTCTTTAATTTAATTTTAGAGAACTTGTATAAAAGTTATACAAGTTAAGAAATACTCCGAAACCTAGAATTCTTTTTCATTATTTATTTAATGCTATAACAGAAGTTAATCTTACTTTTCTGTTTTCGTGATATTGTATTATTAATATTAATATTCTCATCTTCCGTACATGATGATTGGGATTATATGATTTACAATATTCTTAATCTGATAGTTTTTCTTTTTCGATTTACACCCCCCCCCCACCACCACCACCACAACCTACCATGGAATACAGATATAGAAAAAAAGAGAACATTCAAATCTAGGAAAATGAAGAATGGGGACATTACGCTATACTAAATGTGTACCGGCCCAGGACCATACCGTACTTTCCAGGGAATATAGGAATAAAGGGAAAGGAAATGGCGCTGGTCTGGCATGAGAAAGCCAGTCGCACTGCTTTGCAGACAAGTTCGATAAATCTTACACACACTCTTTTGGTACAGACACACAACAGTACTACAGTCAAGGAAATTGCAGAACAATGTCTTCAATTATATATAAACTTGAATAACGAGTAGTTTATTGTAAACTTGAATCAAATTATATTCTTTGCATGACAATTTGGCTTTACAGTGTTGACTTAAATATGTAAATTGTATATTACATGCATATTAAACTTATTTTAAGTAAACAATTGTACTCTCCTAGACTGAACAAATAACGAGATTCTTACGTACTGTATAAACCTACAGTACACACCTTTGGTTCGGTAAACTTTACACACACTCTTTTGGTACAGACACACACACATGACGTTTCCGCCCCTTGGTACTTTCTAGATCAAAGGTTCAAGAGATTTTCTCAAAGATTGATGAGATTTCATTAAAAAATAATTGAGATTCTTAAAAAGTTTTCTTAGACTCGATCTGTCTTCATTTTTGTTATGAGAACACCAATACTGCTTCTTCGAATAGTGTAGATGACCTTTTTTATTTATTTTTTGAGTACACGTAACTACAGGGTTAAAGGATGAGACTTCAGAGACGACTGTACGGAATTTATACTTCTGTCTCCTTGTATTCATGATTCCCAGTAGCTGTAAACTTGTTTTTGTTGTTGCAAAATCATTAAATATGACATTCAAGGATATTATTCAATTTAACCTTGATATCGTCAAATTTTAAGAGTAGAGTGTTAGGTCGTCTTTACAGTCTTATCCGGTGTGAGTAACCCTGTATGTAACTTGTGGTGTTCTCCAATTTAGTAATATTCTCTAATTTTCTTAATTATTGTAATTTAATTAAGATTCTTAATTACAACTTACATTATCCCGTGTTAATGTAAATGTAATATGTATATATGAAGAAGGTAGGGACAACACTATACATTTTTAAGCTAATTGCGTAATTTTGCTAATTTCCACTTTTTACATTTTGAAAGAATTTGCCTAATATGAGCGATACAAATATTTTTTCCTTATGGACGGCTACAAGAATATGAAGTTTATACGATCTTTTATCTTAAATATAAAGTAGAGCTAGAGGGTCGAAGGAAAGTTTTTTCAAAAGTGTACATATCTTCTGTACAGCAGTGTTCTGTCTCTGGGTGGTAATGTAAACACAAGACGGATGTCACAGCCTGACATGGGAACCATCTTTCACATAAAAAATCAATGAAATATTCTGGTCATAGGAAACAATCATGTGAATTTTAAACTATCATTTTAAGCTCTCATCTGTTGTGGATAACCCTGTATTTATAAAGATAAAGATAAAGATAAAGATAAAGATAGAAAGGTAGATACGAAAGAACCTGTCAAATCATTCGTTGGGATGTTTAGAAAGATGAAAATTTCCCTGTATGATAATTGAAGGACTGCAGTATGGTTTTGGTGAATTATATTGGCGTACTAAGCCTAGGGGTGTCAGAAATGTTTTTTTTTTGCATATTTTTAAAAACTTCTATAAAACTTTTTAAGTTTAATTTTTGATAAAACTTTTTGTTCTGGATGATTGCAAATATCTATCTAAAACCATTTCTGACACCCCTAGGCTTTGTACGCCAATATAATTCACCAAAACCACACTGCAGTCCTTCAATTATCATACAGGGAAATTTTCATCTTTCTAAACATCCCAACGAATGATTTGACAGGTTCTTTAAACTATGTCTAATATTGAAAAGGAATTCCCTCAGTAAACTGAACTAATGGATCTCGGGTTTCCTACAGGGAGTCCCACATCAAATTAGACCGCGTCAATGGGTCTAAATTACTATTTGGGGGACAAATCAGAAAATTCAAGAAGAATGAATCATTTTAAGAAATTTAATAAGGCTAATAGAAAATTTTGTAGGCAGAAAATGCTAGATTTTTCGCGTATTATGTGCGTATTTTGGCGTTCAAAATTGTTGATAATCTAATATGATATGGGACGCTCTGTATATTTCCAGGTACACCTAGAACTAGGGAGAACTAGGGTGCTCAGGCTCGGATGTCTTAAAACAGCTAGCTGCAGAGGATTCAAAAATAACATGGCGTAACCTCTGGTTGAGAATAAACCATAGAGAATAGAATATATATTAGAGGGGAATTTAAAGAATATCTCGGTATAAATTTTTTTAGTCCCTTTCAGCCTAAAAGTGAGATCAAAGTGTACAAATCATGTAAATGTTCACAAATTATATGCAGTAGAGTACATTAATACAGTATGTTCCCTAGACTATTCATTTAAATTACGAATTTTTTAAATTGTTAAATAAACTTTATAATGAATTAGGTGAATAAAAAACATCATTTGATTTATAGTTATAACGGAAACTCATCGTTTGTAAAGTGAAAGGCATAGAGTCTATGTGAAATGATCATTGGTCAATTATGAAACCAGCCTATTTCATAATTTGGTTTTCTTTTAACAATAATTTTAGATTTTCTATAAAATGATATTACAGGGCCCAAATGGTTATATAGCATAAATATGTGAAGTACACCTGCAGTATGGAAACAGTACAACAAAATGGCCGTTTTACACTTTTTTCTAGTAAATTCCCCTCTAATATATATTCTATTCTCTATGGAATAAACATTGTTAAATCAATGTACAATGCATATTATACCAACTGTAAACACTGTACAGTATATACTCTGTACAACATGTACAGAGTATAATGTACGATGTGTACACTGCTAATCTTCCAAACTCTACAGTGTACAATGCACACTCTGTACTCCCTGAAAAAAACAATTTATCTTCTTTGAGGACAAGGTTCTAATTAGCAGTACAATTGATACCCTTGTATAGTTCTGAGTTCATTTAGCAAAGTTCAAAACAACGATTAGTTAGATATATTTTCATATTGTTAACATCGTTACACAATTAGAAACCCCCCCGCCCCAAAACACTACATTTTTAGCTCTCAAGATTGTTGTGTCATTAAAATTCTCAATTGTGAGTTCTTTACAAAAGTGATATACAGATTTCTTGTTTCAAATTATACAATAGAGAAATTATCAGAATTAAACCGTTTTTAAGCTTTGACAAACTACGATATCTTCGATTTGACTTATTAGGCATGGTCCTCTTCAACTAAGTTTTTAAGGTAAATTATTATCAAATTATTTATTAATCGGCAATAGTTTTATTTCCATTCTAAACTTTTGGAAACCAGAGGTCCCAAGCGCAGAGGTTAACCGGTTTCTCATGGTCGAATGGACGAACTGCCTTGTGAGATATCACACTTTAAAGAATCATAAAAGGAGTAAGAATCAACTCTATAAGAGACTGTGGTGATTTCCTAGATAATGATTTTGGACCCCCACCCGGCCCCCCCCCTATCAATTTTGCGTCTCATATCTCATGGATAAAGTTGGTCATTTGGCCGCAGTCCCCGGCCCCCTAAACTGTGCTAACCGCGGTGCTCGGCCCCCTAACCTGTCCTAGCCGCAGCGCTCGGCCCCCCTAGCCAGTCCTAGCCGCAGCGCTAGGCCCGAAAAGTGTCTTAACCTAACCTAACCCTAAAAATATACTAATTTTGTTAAAAATTGTTGAAATTGAAGGTCTGTCCTAACATCAAAGCTCTGCCCCCTAGCCTGTCATAGCCGCAGCTCTCGGCCCAGAAATTGTCCTAACCTAACCTAACCCTGAAAAAAAAACTAAATAGTTTTTGGTTGAAAAAAGTTGAAATCTAGGTCCTGTACAAATTTATAGGAGGGGGGGGGGGCGGAGGGGGGGTCCAAAAATCGTTCTCTAGAACAGTCCCGAGACTGTAGTGAGTAACAGACTTAAGTAAATAAGTAAGTATGCAAGGGTATGCTTGATTTACAACAGTACCCAAGAAGTCATTTAAGTTAACAGTGCCGATATCTTCCAATTTTCAACATTCTTTTTGCAGCATTAATCCGCAATCCCCTTTTGCAATTTTTTACAGAAAAAAAGGAAATCTTGTTTATCCTTGATAAGAAAAGAGTTTTTATAGTGTATTTCCGCTGTCTAAACGGAGGGCTAGAGAGCCAACCTGAAATATAGGGCTAGAGAGCCAACCTGAAATTATGACTACAGTTCCTTTAAAGGGAGTGTTCGGCCGGGGGTATATGCTTACGTCGAAAAATATTCGATGGTGATTGCTACTATATTTTGTTTTTTTTATATACAATTGTACTTAACACGACGATTTTTTCCCGCTAGGTTTATCTCCCACATGGAACGAATGGAACCATGCATGCAGAAACATCGAGAGCAGATAGACCTGGCAGCCAAATAATCGTCGTTAAAATTGCATCATATATAAAACAATAGAAAAATATCTTAAAATATCAACTATATACGAATGCCTCGAAAAAAATCGATTATTATAGGTTGTAATATCTGAATGATTTGTTTTAAATTAAAACGATTCTTGCACGATCCGAGTCGAATATTGCAACTTTCTAATTTTGTATGGACGCTACGTTCTTCGGTAAGAGTCGTTTTTCATAATTTTCTCCTTATAGGCGCAACAGATAGAAGTAAGATAAGTAGCAATCACCATCGAATATTTTTAGATGTAAGCCTATATATACCACCTTTTATTTTTCGCGAACACTTCCTTTAAGAATTTGAGAAAACCTTTTTTAATGGAGCAAAGTAAGAGCACAAAACTATAGAAAAAATAATTCTAAAAAGTAAGTTGCAAAATGTTTGACAGTAAGGAATAGAGTGCTTGCCACAAAACCTCATTTTCTAATCCTTATATCTTCGCAATCCAATATTATAAGATATTCAAAACTTAAAATTCTGTTATATCATAAAATTTAAGTTTTGAATATTAAAGCTCAGGTTCCAAAGATAAACAGTAATAACTCTGGAATAAAAAGATGACATGTAAGTAATAATTAAGTGAATTTAATGTCTTTACAGATCTGATAGTTTTACCATAGGTTTAAAATCAACTTATTAAATGAAATGTGTCTGTTTGCACTGCACAATCCCTGTGTCTCATGTTCTCTGGACTATATATGTATAAATTGCCTGGTTTCTATTTTCTAAGTTCTGTATGAGGTCCAGCTGTGTTTATATATATATAGAGAATAATAAATGAACTCTAAAATATTACCCTGTTCTAGACAGCTAGGAATATTAGAATACATATTTGACAAGAATGACGAATATTCAAAACAAATTTCTAAAAATAAACCGAAACAACTTGAAATAGACTTCTTTATTGATTAAATTAGAACTTAGCATTAATCATTCACCACAGAGAACCAAAAATAAAGTTTAATTTAAAAAAATGTCAAACAATTTATAACGTAAAATACTAAATAGAAAACGTCAGCAGCTTCATTAGAAAATCATAAAAATAGAAGGCTGTATGATCTAGCAACAATACTCTTTTATATTTGTCGAAGTATAAAAACGTCAGCAAAATTGGAATCTAACAGAATTGTTCCTTCAACAAAGGAACTGAGTTCTTGCCTCAAACTCTGGTTTTCTAACCCCTTTATCTTTGCAACCCGATGTCGTAGATCTTTAATATTTTAAACTCTGAATTCTGAAAGATCAAATAGCCTAAGTTTGCAATATCTAAGGTTGCAGAGTTATAGGGGTTAGTGTCCCTTTAAAGTAATTAACCCCCCCCCCCTCAATTTTCAGTTCAGTTCATGTTTAGATATTCAAAGATAACATATAATTAAATATGCTCAGTTTACAAAGGAGAGAAAGTCATTAAGCATAACTCCGGTAAATACTAAAAATGAGTAACATGCATAGAGAATAGAATATATAGAGAGGAATTTAATGGAAAAAAGTGTAAAACGGCCATTTTGTTGTACTGTTTCCATACTGCAGAGTGCAAAACTTAAGAAAATTATAAAACTCGCTACGATACCCGGTTTCCTGAAACCCGGGTTTGGCAGAGTTCGGGTTTCATGTTCTTAAAACGTATTTTGAAACTCTAGGAAACTGGGTTAAAATATGCTGTCGTTGGAGTCTCCAGCTGTGGTGTTTTATGAATAAAGCTGCTACGCACTTGAAAGTGATCAAATTGGTATCCGTTTTTGGCGTAATAGTCGGCCCATCCAAGGAAAGATTTAAATTTACACTCTTATAATGTCCAGAAAGGTGGAGCTATAGATTTTTTTAAAAAATCTGTAGTTATGTGATGTCATCAGATACATTTGTGAATTTGCTGAGACATTCTTTTAGTTTAAAGAATATTTTTGGTACTTATTAAACTTAAAAAAGTTTTTTTTTGCACAAGGATCTCATTAAAAAAAATTTCTAAGGCTCCATTTTTTTTCTGTTGCATTCTAAATTTTTACAATATCACTAAGATTTTTAAGCAAAAGTGATTTACAGGACTTTTTGAAAAAACTATTTTAATGTATTAGGTAGATTAATGTTAATTTTTCTTCAGAAGTCTATTGATATTATTATTCTTACTCGGGCTATATAATTTATAACTAGATTTTAGAAACTTATGAAAACAATTTCTGTTATATGGAACTAGGTGGGGGGGGGGTGTGTGTGTGCAAATTCGGCCCCCCCCTGGTTACGGGGCTGATAGCAGATAAACTTAAATAAATTACTGTATTCACTTTTAACAGAAAAATGTTTTTAAGTTCGATTTGACTGTACTCTATTCAATATCGAGTCTATAGAGAGAGAGATCTTAACTGATTTGGAACATATATGAATCCATTATAAGCATAAATACGAAGAAATGGTGCTTCATATGTTCCACAATCACTACGAAACTCACTTTCCCAGCCGTAACCCTACTCCTATACAAGGGTTTCATTTTGAGGTATTGCCCCGTAACATTCTGAGTTTCCGGAGTTTCCCGAAACCCTTACGAAACTCAAACCCAGACTTAAGAGAGCTTACCCGGTTTCGTGGCCAGGTTTGGTTTGGGATACCCTGTAAATTTCTTTTAAGTTTTGCCCTTAGGGAACATACTGTATTAATGTACTCTACTGCATATAATTTGTGAACATTTACATGATTTGTACACTTTGAACTCCCTTTCAGGCTGAAAGGGACTGAAAAAATTCATACCGAGAGATTCTTTTAATTCCTCTCTCTATATTCTATTCTCTATGGTAACATGTGCTTTAATTCCGGCTAACTTCATTATACGATTAAGCTTAATTGTAATTTAATAATACTTCCAATGCCACCACTGCTTTGGTAATACTTCAGGAAAACGTTTTAAAGGTTAACACAAACATTGTAAACCTTAAGCACAAGGGCGTATACAGAAAGAAATGTAAGGGGGAGGGGCAAAATTTGAACCGTAAATTTAAAATATTTGGCTTCTTGGATACTTTAAATGTACATACAGTCCAATTACCTTATACAAGTACTACTTTATCTCTCCTTCAAACAAAAGTAGCAGAAAAAAACAGCTAATTACTTTTTTTACTACTCTTCACTCTTCAGTTTCAGATTCGACGAGTGTGATAGCTCTGAGTTAAAGTTTGGCTGTTATCAATTTTGTTTTTATAATGAGGCGGGCCAAGACAAATATTTTGCCGTTGATTAAAAATTCTTAAAATTGTTTCTTAAATTAAACTATGGGATAAAAGGGAACTTCAAAAACATGAGATAGAAGAGGAAGAAAAGGAACTGTGTTTTTGCAACAAATTCTAATTTTCTAATTCCCATATCTTTGCAATTTGATGGTGCGTCCTTATGATATTTTAAACTTCAGCTATTTGATCTAATAGAAATCATAGTTTGAAATAACAAAGGTCTACAACATCAGGTTGCCAAGATATTTAAGGATTATAAATTGAGAGAACTCAGTTTCTTAACCATCAAGGGAGGAAAGAATTCAAAGAGAGAAAAAAGAAGGAGAAAAGATTAAGGAAAGTGACGAAAAGAAATAAATGGGAAAAAAGAGAAGATGGAAAAAGAAATAAGAATGAGCTAAACCTACTTTTTTGCAGAACAATGTTGCTTGGAACTGACTCCGGGTATACATAGAGTAGACGGAGCTGAACCCTGTAGATCCCAACCCGAACTATACTCAGCCTTATCCTTTACCAGGAATGGGATAGCACACATAAATATTCCTAAATTAGACATTTTATCATTTTTAGCTTTCGTACACTAGCTTTCTTTGTACTAGTTTTTAAGTAAATACAGTTTATAAAAGTTTTTGCTTAAAAAAAGTAAAAGCAAACACAACACTATTGAAACAAAAAAATCTGGGTTTGATTTTTTTCTCGGCTTTTTACTTTTTCTTGTTCTCCAAATAAATTGTTTTTTTTCCTTTCACCATTGAAGACTCATTGAACATATATGCTGTTTACAATGCATTCCTTAAAAACTATTTCTTTAGAAATTCTCTCCTTCACAAAGGTTAAAATGCTTGTAGTTTCTGCTCTGAAACAAATATCAATGTGTGACACATAATTCTACATGCATTTTTCAAGGGCTTTTCAAAAATATAGTTTTTACATCTGTAGCTTTAGTTTCAAAAAGTTATGGGCTATTTTAGATTTTTGTTTTCACAGACCGAACTTTTTTCCGCCCTGTACCCTACCCTATAAATTAAAAAAAATATATTTTTAACAAAAAATCCTTTAAATTACTATTCATTAAAAGTCACAAAATTTTACGGTGATAGTGTCAAAAATGAAAGTGCTAGGACAAAAAACTACAGGGGGGGGGGCGAAAAATGCCCCCCCCAGCCTGTTTAAATTAGGCAAGCCGCTCTTTTTAAATAGAACATATTACGTCTAGAGTGTATTCTAGAGTATTCTAAAATAGTGTTAAGTATTTTCCCAAGGGCGACTTTCGAAGTGACATTTTCCATTAAGTTGCAACTTCCCAAATGTGCAATTTCTCAAGCGGCAACTTCCCCAGGTAAGGTTATGCCTTCTGAGGCGCCGCAGGCTGCAACAGGGGCCGAGCGCTTTGGCAAAGATTGGATAGGGGTCGTGCGCTGCGGCTAGGATATACTTGGTAAGGTGTCGTTTGGGAAATTGCACAATGGGGAAGTTACTACTTGAGAAGTTGCTGCTTGGAAAAATACCTTCAAGAAAGTTCCTAACATCTTTTAAAAATTGTATTACCGAATCCTGAGAAAACCATAGATACTGATGTCCAGAGGGTTCTCTTCTTGATCCTTGAGAGGAAGGGGAGGAGGACAATGAAGCAGATCTGACTGATCTCGTTCCCAGAGAACACCCAGGCCGTCTCCGTACTCTTCATTCCAAACTGTTTCTCTAGAAATACAAACATCTGTATCCACACAGGAAGAGACTTCAGAGACGACTTTATGCGAATAATATTTTTAAGTTAGTTAAAGGGACTGTAAGCGTAATTTCAAGTGACCTCCTTCAATACAAAGATAGCAATGACCGATTATGTACGTTACCCTTAAAAGCTTTGTCGGATCAAGTATTAATTAGGTATTAATGTTTTTGTTTCTCATGTTCTCACATTCTTTTTTCTTTCCGACAGTGACTTCCGCATAATTTGGTTGTAGGACACAAGGAATAAATTCACAGAAGTAAATACTTTTCCAGTAAGAAAATGACTTTATCTTTCACATTTTTGATGAGAATAAGGATTCAAGGGTACCGTTGTGAATCAAGGATTACCATCTTTGCATGAGTTCTTAGGTTGCTATTAAAGGGAATGTATTTATTATTATTTAATTATTATTTATATTTTCATATTTACTGTTTAATTACGATATGCACATTTTCATATTAATAGTTTAATTAATATATATATATATATTTTCTATTTACCTATAGTAGATAGTGATGCACTGAGATAACTGTACCCCATTCCTTGTATTACTCCCAACAGAGAGTACACCAGTACATACATCTAAACATTTTAAAGTACACTAGTACATACTTAAAACATTTTATAGTACACTGGGACATACATCTAAACATTTTATAGTACACTAGCACATACATCTAAACATTTTATAGTACACTAGTACATACATCTAAACATTTTATAGTACACTGGGACATGCATCTAAATATTTTACAGTACACTAGTACATACATCTAAACATTTCATAGTACAAGTACATGCATCTAAACATTTTATAAAACACTAGTGCATAAATCTAAATATTTTATGGTACACTAGTACATACATCTAAACATTTCATAGTACAAGTACATGCATCTAAACATTTTATAAAACACTAGTACATACATCTAAGCTTTTTAAAGCACACTAGTACATACATCTAAACATTTTATAGCACACTAGTACATACTTTTAATCATTTTATAGTACACTATTACATACATCTAAACATTTTATAGTACACTAGTACATACATCTAAACATTTTATAGTACACTAGTACAGACTTCTAAATATTTTATAGTACACTAGTACATACATCTAAACATTTCATAGTACACTAGTACATACATCTAAACATTTTATAGTACACTAGTACATACATTTAAACATTTCATAGTACACTAGTACATATATATAAACATTTTATAGTACACTAGTTCATACTTTAAAACATTTTATAGTACACAAGTTGCATACATCTAAACATTTTATAGTACAGTTCATACATCTAAACATATTATAGTACACTAGTATATACATCTAAGCTTTTCAAAGCACACTAGTACATACATCTAAACATTTTATAGTACACTAGTACATACATTTAAACATTTCATAGTACACTATTACATACATCTAAACATTTCAAAGAAAACTAATAAATACAACTAATTTCAAAGTACACTTGTACATACATCTAAATATTTTAAAGTACATCAGTACATACATCTAAACATTTTACAGTACACTAGTACATAAATCTAAACATTTTATAGCATACTCGTACATACAGGGTTACCCATAAAGGATGAGACTGTAAAGACGACCTGAAAATCTCAAAATATGGTTAAATCTTCTGCCTTGAATATTTAGTCTTTTCAGGACTTATTTAATGATTTGGAAAAAAACGAAACCTGTTTACAGTTGCAGGGAGTTATGAGTATAAGAAAAAAGGAAAGTGTAAATTTCGTAAAATCGTCTCTGAAGTCTCATTCTTTGTGAGTAAACCTGTACATCTAAACATTTTATAGTACACTAACACCAGTATATATATACATCCTAACATTGTATGGACTTCACAGAGTAGTAATTATAAAGTACATTAGTACATACATCTATTCATTTTTATGTACAATATGTGATTTACTACGAATATGATTAATGAAAATATATATTGGTAGATAATTAAAAGTGTCCAATAAAATCTACGGGTTGGGTCAGATTAACAAGATTGTTTAAATCATGAATGCAATTTTTACACAATTTTACTTAAACAAAAAAAGTTGTTTATGAGAAAGCCGCGTTTATTTCATTTTAATATTTTTTATTTTCTAAAATTGTACAAATACGTTTTCTGACAATGCCAATCTGTAAGCTCTAAAAAAGGAAGACAAATTATTTAGATATTCATTTGTTGACTTTGTTTGAATTTTAATATCACCAAATTTATCATGACAACGAGATATGAAAAAAAAGAAATATTTTTTAAGGGGTTAGGAGAAATAAAACCTTCGGACTAAAAGAAAGGTTAAATCAATTTTCGGTGATTTTATAAATATTTGTTCTTAAATATTTGTAAATAATGAATGGTATAAATGAGACCGGTTAGTCAAGAATCTTGATAGAAAGTATAATATTTAATATCCTGTCATGGTTTTCAGGGAACTATCGGCGTAATTTTAAGTGAGCCTCCTTTTTTTTAAAAAGTTACAGGACCTATCTAAACAAACCTACGCCCAAGGTAAAAAGGTAAGGAAAGTTAATTGCTGTTGCGTATTCTCCGCGTACATATTGAAACCAGTGCTCTCTGAGCCCGAAATTTAAAAGAGTATCGTTGAACGAAAATATCGAGTTTCCTTAACATTTTGTAGATTTTGATTTAAGAGATTCCACAAAAATGGAGATTATGAAGAAGCTAAATAAAAAAATATTTCATAACAAAAATATTGATATCTACAAAACTCCCTAACCCCATTCAAAAAACCTGGGTTTTAGAACTGGTTTTCATAACGATACCCTGTCTTAAGTTTTGAGCTCTGGGTGGCATTTGTCGACAAGAATAGATGCATCAGTTTTCCTATAGTATCCGAGGAGTTTCTCTGTTAAGTGATCTGTGAACTAATCTGAGATAAAGAAAAAAAACGACAACATGATCATTATAGTTGCTCAGTTAAAGGTATATTAAAGGTAACATTGTGAATTGGATGAACTTAAAAGTCACTTTACTAAGTTTACACATCATTATCCAGCCCCCTTTTCTTATGTTGTCATCTGGAAAAATATGATTTTTTGGTATGATTGCCTCTTAATGATTCAAGAGTGAGTAAAAACTCTGGCAAAAACATGTTGTTTCAAGGGGCTTATATAATAATTCGTCCAGGGGGGGGGGGGGTTAACCTTCTTTAATTTTCAGGGAGGATAGGATTGCCTTCGTTTGTTCCATTTATCAAATTTGATTAAAATGTGGGACGACGTTAATCTGAATTAACTTTCTTAAAACCTTTATTCCCTCCCTGCCTCCCTCCCTCTCTTCTTCTCCCATCTCCATTTGTACAACCTTTATTTGATTGTTTATTAACTATAAACTTATTTGAAGCTTTATATTTGGTAAAGGTTTTCCTGAACTGATTACAAGATTATAACCGCTCTTTAGATCATTTATAAGTCGAAAAAAATTTTAGAAGTTAATACACTTAAAAAATATTTTCAATTCTGATTATATGGTTTTTAAAACTAATGTTTTCTTCCCTAGGTTACATTTTCTATTTGTTTATTTTTATTTTTTACCTTTCTAGAGGCCAGTCGCTGCAGAAACTTTGGCCTCCATTTGAAGAGGCCGCAGGATGTTGTCAAGTCCATTCGGAGGCTGTAGATGAGGCTCAGATTATTTAAAAAGTATGACAGAGCTTTTGTTCTTCTCTGATTTTACATTTTTGTCACTTGACTTTCCTCTAATGTTCAATGGATTTAATCCTGTAACATGAAAGTCTGAAAATTTAAAATGATTAGAAAAATTTAAGATTTTATTAGAATAAAGGAACTAAAATTTTTCCAATTTTTTATATATTGCCTTCGGGAAGGACTTTTCCACATTAATTATAAGTAGTTATAACATTCCACATTCCGAAAATAAAATTTAAAAAAGACATTTTTATCCTTACATCCCCCCCCCCCTCCTAAAAATCAATAAAGAACTCAGGTTAAACAAAACCCCCACGACATAAAACAAATTTTGGTTTGTTTATGTTTGTATACTTGTGGTAGATGATATATAAACCTGTAACTAAACACCAAACCTAACCTAACATTATATTCACTGTTATGTAAACAAAGCAGTACTATTTATACAGAAAGATACTAGCTAGGAAACCCTGCTTTGTCTGTAAACTGCATTTTATCTATAAAATCACTCAACTGGGGATTTAAAAACCGTTCAAGGGGTTCCTGAGTTATGATGGGACGTACAAAAGATGGAGTAAGGATGGAGAAAGGATGGAGTAAGGATAGAGTAAGGCTAAATTAAGGATGGAGTAAGGTTTGAGTAAGGTTTAAGTAAGGATGGAGTAAGGATGGATTAAGGATTGAGTAAGGATGGAGTAAGGATGGATTAATGATGAATTAAGGATGGAGTAAAGATGGAGTAAGGATGGAGTAAAGTTTGAGTAAGGATGGAGTAAGGATGGAGTAAGGATGGATAAAGGATGAATTAAGGATGGAGTATGTATGGAGTAAGGATGTAGTAAGGATAGAGTAAGGATGGAGTAAGAATTGAGTAAGGATGGAGTAAGGATGGATTAATTATGAATGAAGGCCTGAGTATGGATGGAGTAAGGATGGATTATGGATGGAGTAAGGATGGAGTAAGAATTGAGTAAGGATGGGGTAATGATGGAGTAATGATTGAGTAAGGATGGAGTAAGGATTGAGTGAAGGTGGAGTAAGGATGGAGTAGGAATGGAGTATGGATGGATTAAGGATGGAGTGAGGGTGGAGTAAGGATTGAGTAAGGATGGAGAAAGGATGGAGTAATGATGGAGTAAGGATGGAGTAAGGATGGAGTACGGATGGAGTAAGGATGGAGTAAGAACGGAGTAAAAACGGAGTAAGGTTGGAGTAAGGATGGAGTGAGGGTGGAGTAAGGATGGAGTGAGGGTGGAGTAAGGATGGAGTGAGGGTGGAGTAAGGATGGAGTGAGGATGGAATTATGGTGGAGTAAGGATGGAGTAAGGATGGAGTAAGGATGAATTAAGGATTGAGTATGGATGGATTAAGGATTGGGTAAGAATGGAGTAAGGATGGAGTAATGATGGAGTAAGGATTGAGTAAGGATGGAGCAAGGATGGAGTAAGGATGGATTGAGGGTGGAGTAAGGATGGAGTAAGGATTGAATAAGGATGAAGTAAGACGGAGTAAGAATGGAGTAATTTGGAGTAAGGATGGAGTAAAATGAAAGGGGCACGGGAATGTATAATAATGAAGTTTATAAATTATCACTTTTAGAGATGGGTTTATAAATTTTTTAGATATAAAATAAACACGACAAAGAGCAGGTTTAGGTTTATGTTCAGATTAAACTTTACATAGGTATACATCATAGTTGAACCAGAAGTGGATAGTCAGGTTTAACTCCGAGCTTGGATACTATAGGACTGTCAATCAAACCCCGAGTTCAGCTGAATTACAGGTTGTTTAAAGATACAGATCGAGTAAAAAAAGATAATCTATCGTTTTCAGTTTAAATAGCTACAAATCAGCAAACTCATGTCAACCATAAACCTGGATATATAAAGATGAAATAAATTATCAATATTGAATCTTTTTGTTGCCTCTCTGTTCTTCTCTATTCGGTTGAATGAATCTAATGAATCCAAAAATAAGGTATTTATGAAACGAAAATACACAACATTTCATTTCATTCATTAGTTTTCACACTGGCATCCATACAGCACGAGAAAACAAGCCATTTTTAGTTTAAAATGTTTCCAGGCTTATAGGGACTGTAAGTGTAATTTTCTAGTAACCGTTTATGTGATGATGCCTGATCCACAACGGTACCATTGTAACCTTTATCTGAACAACAATGTGGAAGATTCGTTCGTTTTTCTAGGTTTAAATGTGTTCAACTCTGAGAACTCCTATTTGCGCAAGTAACTGTAGTAGAGAAACCAAATAATCAGTTTTCAAAATTGTAAAACTAGAAATCACATTCATGCTTGATCAGACAGACCTTATCCAGGTACCGTTTTTAATCGGGCAGGCTTTAAAAGGTTAGGTGGGTTCAAATGTAAATATCTGAGGTTTACGCTGTCAGGTTGCAAATATTTAGGAATTAGAAAATAGAGTATGGGATAAGTGCTAAGTTCCTATGAGCAAATATAGTTATGTTTATCAACCTTCATCTATTTTTAAGCATGTTTTGGGAAAAATGAATTACTGGAAAATAATGTTAAAAATTCTATTTTCGACTATTTAGCCAGTTGCGCTTCAGTGATCTACAAACGTAAAATCATAATAAAGAATAAGAAAATATAGAAGACTAAGAAGACTAAAAATAATAAGAATAATAAGAATAATAACAATAGGCAGAAAAAGAGTAAGAAGTATATACATATATGTATTTTATTATCTCTGGACTGAAGATTGATGTTGTGTTGTATAGAATTAGAAAAATAAGAATAAGAATAAAAATAATAAGAATAATAAGTAGAATAAGAATAAGAAAAGTATATATATATATATATACATATCCCTGGACTGAAGATGGATGTAGTGTTGTATGAGGGGAGGAAGGCCAACCACATCAATCTCTAGTCCGAACCACATTCTCATCATTTTCTCGTCCGAACCACATCAAAATCCTCGTCCTTTCAATACGTTTTTTTTAAGTGTCCGATCCTTGAAAATAAATACATTTTTTAAAAATATGGCGACGTTAGGGCATAGATGAAATATCAAATTTTCCCAATTAAATTTTAGATTTGTGTAAAAATGAAAATGCTCCATAAACGATGTTCTACTAAAAAGCGTCTGTAAAGAGCCCTTTCTTTCGCGGAAAATGCCGCAAAACATTCTTAAACTCGATGTAAACAACTTTTTGTAATATTCCAGCTGAATTTTGGTTAGAGATATGACTTACAATTTTTATATGATTAAATAATGTTTGAATTCATAGGGTTGTGACCAATTATTTGTAGCAAATGATTTGAATGATATAAATTGAACATTATTTTTTCTAGAATTTTAAGCATGCGGCAGGCAGTAGTGATCCCTTAGTGGGGACAACAAATCTACCTTATTTGTAAATAAATCAGAAATCAATGATTATTTTGTATGGGTTGAAATGGAAAGATTAAAGACCATGTTCACGCGAATTCTTTGGTATACATTTTTATTTGTGAAAGTTATCCATTTTGGAGGCAGAAGAGATTCAATTTTTAACCTAAATAATGGTTGACATCATTCTCGTGGATTTGAAGATTCCAACATCTCAAAATCCTTGGAAAACTTTATTCTAGTCATGTTTTATGCCCTAACGTCGCCATATTTTAAAAAAATGTGTTTATTTTCAAGGATCGGACACTTAAAAAAAAATAATATTGAAAGGACGAGGATTTCGATGTGGTTCGGACGAGAAAATGATGAGAATGTGGTTCGGACTAGAGATTGATGTGGTTGGCCTTCCTCCCCTCGTTGTATAGAATTATTCATTTGATTACCTTCCACACAAAACTAATCAATTCTCGTCCGTAATCTCCTGAAAAAATGTCAATCTACTTTTTTTGTCAATTATTGCTTAAAGGGACAATACACTCAATGAACAGGTCAGTTCAAGTGAACCCCATTTCAAGAGTTCCATGCTGGATTCACAACGGTACACTTTAAACTTTATCTCAGCAACAGTAAGGAAGATATCAAGTCTTTATTTTTTTGTTTATCTTCATTTGTTAAGTTTTCAAGAGCACTGTTTGACTGTAAAAAAACTAATACAACGGATTGATAAAAGTAGGTTTCAACAAAGAGCTTGGATTTCAAGAACCCCCTGCAGATATGATTGTTTCAAATGTAATTGCTAGAATTGCAGTGACTAAACGTTAAAAATCCGATCTTATAAAAATTTATTTATTTTTGTAAAACAATGTTAATCAGAGATTGGTGCATGATATTGCACATTTCAAAATGCATTTGAAACAATTGGATATTTTACTCTCAATGCATTTATTCAGTTTTTGACCTATCACTTTTATTATAAAAATTCAAAGTTTGCATAAAAAGGATTAATTTAAAAATGCACAAAAAAAGAATGAAAACCTATACGATTCTCTTAAAATTAGTATTTGTACTATTTGTACTATCTGGTTCACAACTAATTTAGTGGCCAAATGCTTTGGTTTAGTTTTACAAATTTTTTTTTAATTAGGGTGGGGTTTTTTCTAAACCCTATTTATTACCACTTTAGGGTCCTTGATACATAGAAAGCGAAGTCTGAAAACAGACTACGAAACAGACAACGAAACAGACAACAAAACAGAGAACGAAACAGAAACGAAACAGACGACGAAATAGACGACGAAACAAGCAACGAAGCAGACTCAAAACATACAACGAAACAGACAACGAAATTATTAAGTAAAATGGGTTTGCACACATAACACCATTGCTGTATTTCTTGAACATTGTACTATTTAAAATTATAGATTGAGTATGAAAGTCATTTTCCTTTTCCAGAGTTTTATGTGTATTTTTTTACTTGTCCTATGTCCTACTCTTTCTAAATATGCCTATCTAAATACGGTAAATAAAGATGAAACTAGGTATTCATGCAGTATGCTTATGAACTCAGGCAGTAAGTATTAAAGCCGAACATTTGGCCTCAAGTAAAAGTTGGATAACAAATTTGAACAGCCTCAGTCTAAACCTTTTCGAGTAATGTCCAAAAAACGTTAGAATGGGTATAACCCCCCCCCCCCGCCCTATAAATAAGGGTAAGAATAATTTATTTCAATTGTTGCTAGAAATGAAATTCGTTATACTGCACTCATTCTTGCAATATGCATGAATGCATGCATGAAAGTCGTCTAAGATCTTGGAATTTAATTTTTATATTCAGTCGTTAACATACATTAACATGTAAAAAGTAAATGCAATCACTATTTGAATTGAATTTAAAAAATACTAAACTACCGTAAGCGTACATTTTAAATGTGCAAAGCTTTTAATTGCAATGTTTAATGTAAAATTCTGTTTTATAAGCGTCTTATTCTTGTAAAAGTCAACACGACTGAACCGATTGGAACCAACTTATGTTTAATATGTTTAATATGGCTATGGAGCCCTTACTTGAAATATTTTTTGTCGACCTTTTTACAAATTCTATCTTTCTTACATATTTAAAGGCATTGGCAGGCAAATCCTTTCAACAAAAGAAGGAAATGCGCAATGTTGCAATATTGAAGACTGCGCATGCAGTTGCACTGTTTATCACATCACATATACCCGGTTGTGTAAGCACTAAGTTTACGAGGCGCTAGAGCGCACTCAGCCTGTTATACGCGCAGGACAGGGTTTTCTTTTTTCAGGTTTCATTTTTTAACTCTAGGCTTGACGAGTCAAATAATACTTTCTGTTCAATTTGATTTAAATACTATGTCCGTGCGTAACAAACAATAGGAGAACTGAACGCTCCGTAAGTTTAATATTATGTAAGCTATTGTACTACTGCAATTACGTCTGCATGTTCTCTGTTTGTGCATGACAAACCGGGATAGAACACAAAAGATAGATACATAACAAGATAGATAGATATCTACAAAGTAGGTCCTGATTTTGCTGATCTGTATACACAGGTAGAGAGAGAGGGGTGGAGTTTAAGTTTACCGAGCCACCGTACCCCCCACTCCTCAATCTGAGCCTCGCATTTTCAGCGAATTGTTCATTTATTTCACGTTAAAACTATTCTTATGTATTTCCATTGCACGTCTTTCTCAAGAAAGTATCATTATTTCTCTTGGACGCGGTTGTTTCTGAAGAGAAAATCAGAAAAAATTCAATTTTAAACTGAATCAAGTTTGGTCCTTTTCTATTCTTATAGTGTTCAAAATGAATTTAATCAGATTAAAATCTTGGAAGATTTATTATAATATTTAAATGCTTTTTTTGGATTTGTTTCCACAAACTGTGATTTTTCAATCCCTATATCTCTGCAACCCGAAGATGTAGATCTTTCGTATTTCAAAATATAAATTCTGACAAATCAAACATTCTAGATCTACAACATCAGGTTGCAAAGATAACGGGATTAGAATATTTGAGTTTGCGTCCAAAACTAATTTCTTAAACTTATATAACAACGACAGCTTGACGTAGTTGTCGAGAAATAAATAAATTTGAAATTGACATTTAGATATTTCGTTCTCATTTTAAGATGATTATCAACTTATTATATTTTAAACTTTAAATATTTAAATATATTCAAGTTTGTCTTATTCTTTTCCTCCACTGAATTACATTTTGAATTTATTCTCATTGAATTTGGAATGAAAGGAAATTTAAACCCTTCAGGGATTCATCCTACTGAGCAGGCTAGGTTTTATAAATCTATCTTATTCCATGGATCCATGGAGCATGTTGGGTTCTATCTCTTATCCATAATTTTTGCTGATTTTTTAAAGTTTTTTCTCTCGTTTTTCTTTCATTGAATATATAATCATCAAGTTCGCTATCTTAGCTAAAATATATTGGGCGACCTAGCCACTTTGTAAATTCATAAATCCATAATTTTTTCTGATTTCTTAAAAGTTTTATCTCTCGTTCTTCTTTCATGGAATATCTAATAATCACGCTTGTTATGTCTTATCTGTAAATATAGAGGGTGAAGAAGCCACTTTACAATTTTATAAATGTATAAGTTTCTGTTGGTTTCATAAAGTATTTGAGAAGAAGGGTTCTATCTCTTTCACTCATTCCATAAATCATTTTGAGCAGGTTGGGTTCTATCTCTCTCTCATTCCATGTATCCTTTTGAGTAAGTTGGGTTCTATCTCTCTCTCATTCCATGTATCCTTTTGAGTAAGTTGGGTTCTATCTCTCTCTAATTCCATGCATCCTTTTGAGTAAGTTGGGTTCTATCTCTCTCTCATTCCATGTATCCTTTTGAGTAAGTTGGGTTCTATCTCTCTCTGATTCCATGTATCCTTTTTAGTAAGTTGGGTTCTATCTCTCTCTGATTCCATGGATCCTTTTGAGTAAGTTGGGTTCTATCTGTCTCTCATTCCATGGATCCTTTTGAGTAAGTTGGGTTCTATCTCTCTCTCATTCCATGTATCCTTTTGAGTAAGTTGGGTTCTATCTGTCTCTCATTCCATGGATCCTTTTCAGTAAGTTGGGTTCTATCTGTCTCTCTCATTCCATGGATCCGATTGAGTAGATTGGATTCTACTTCTCTCTGTTTCTCTTTAGATACTGTTGAGAAGGTTGAGAAGGTATCATTCTCCATTGATACTCTTGAGCAGATTGGGTTTTACTTTTCTATATTCATAAATCCTAATGAGAAGGTTTGATTCTACTTATCTCTCTCTCCATGGATGCTGTTGAGAAGGTTGGATTCTACTTCTCTCTCTCTCAATGGATCCTGATGAAAAGGATGGATTCTACTTCTCTCTCTCTCAATGGATCCTGTTGAGAAGGTTGGATTCTACTTCTCTCTCTCTCAATGGATCCTGATGAGAAGGTTGGATTCTACTTCTCTCTCTCTCAATGGATCCTGATGAGAAGGTTGGGATCTACTTCTCTATCTCTCCATGGATCCTGATGCAAAGTTTGGGTTCTGCCTCTTCTCTCTCTCCGTGAATACTCCTGAGCAGGTTGGGTTCTACTTCTATTTGAAGAAGGTTAGGTGCTACTTCTCTCTTCGTGTATCTGTTTAGAAGATTGGGTTCGATCTCTCTCTCCGGTCCCTCTGTCCTCTGTTGTGTCCGGAGCGTATATTCTCCGTCTAACCTCGACAGTTGAGTTTTATACCTTGACAATTAGGGTAGTTTCAGATACGTTTACATTATGTACGTATTGAACAGTGATCTAGAATGACGACATAAAACCGACAGTGATAGGTAAATATTGAAGAACATTTACTCTTCTCCCGATCTGAATGCTATGATTAGCGATTAATGATTTTACCAACACCTGATTTTTTCTGTCTCATGAAATATATTTGGCATCAGGCAACATTTCAATCATGTTCTAATTCCATTTTCAGTTAAATATCATTTAAACATTCACTAAGTTCATTTTTAAAATTCCATTAATTTTGGAAAGGTTAGTTGTTCTGTTTCTCAAAAAATTGGTCTTGGTTTTTGTTTCTAATACATCTGATTCATTGTTAAATAATATGTACAAAAAGTACATCTATCCCATTGTCATATATACCTCTTTATTCCAGAAATAGCTACTTTCTTGTAAATTTAAACCGATTGTCTGATATACTTTTATTCTAGAAATAACTATAGTTTCCAGTAAATTTAAACCGATTGACTAATATAACTTTATTCTAGAAATAACTATAGTTTCTAGTTCAACTAACCAATTTACTAATAAACCCTTATTTATAGTTTCTAGTTCAACTTACCAATTATCTAATATACCTTTATTCTAGAAATAACTAGTTTCTAATTCATCTAACCAATTGTCTAATATACCTTTATTCTAGAAATGACTAGTTTCTAGTTCATCTAACTAATTGTCTAATATACCTTTATTCTAGATATGACTAGTTTCTAATTCATCTAACCAATTGTCTAATATACCTTTATTCTAGAAATAGTTTCTAATTCATCTAACCAATTGTCTAATATACCTTTATTCTAGAAATATCTAGTTTCTAGTCCATCTAACCAATTGCCTAATATACCTTTATTCTAGAAATAACTAGTTTCTAATTCATCTAACCAATTGTCTAAGATACCTTTATTCTAGAAATGACTAGGTTCTAATTCATATAACCAATTGTCTAATATACCTTTATTCTAGAAATCTGCACTAGTTTCTAATTCATCTAACCAATTGTATAATATATCTTTATTCTAGAAATGACTATTTTCTAGTTCATCTAACTAATTGTCTAATATACCTTTATTCTAGAAATGACTAGTTTCTAGTTCATCTAACCAATTGTCTAATATACCTTTATTCTGGAAATAACTAGTTTCTAGTTAAACTAACCAAATATCTAATATACCTGTATTCTAGAAATGACTAGTTTCTAATTCTTCTAACTAATTGTCTAATATACATTCATTCTAGAAATAACTAGTTTCTAATTCATCTAGCCAATTGTCTAATATACCTTTATTCTAGAAATAACTAGTTTCTAATTCATCTAACCAATTGTCTAATATACCTTTATTCTAGAAATATCAACGTTAACTTTTGCAGTGCAAAATCGACGTAAATATTCTTGTTTTTCACCTAAAATTGATCAATTTCAATTGTGGTCTCTAAATAAAAGTAAATTGCGTGTTAATTCACCAGAGTTGTCAGAATTCAACACAAACACAAAATGTACAAACTCACTTTATTTTTTTTTTGTATTCCAAGACATTTGGAATTTATAGACATAAAGCACTTTTTCTCGTTTTTTTTAATTAGATTGGCAAAATTTTCATCGATTTTTGTGTGAGAGCTCGCGCGCAACTGTAATTAGGACTGCTCGTCTCTAGTTCTACCAAAACATTACTAAATTTTGTTATTTAATTTTAACCTATTCTTATACGTAACAGTTAATTTACGCAAACTGTTATACCTCAACCTTACATTTATTCACTTTGGTTGTCTCGAGGTATAATATTGTGTGGTTGATGTCAACGCATCATCTGACTTAAATTACATTTGTTCTCTACAGAACAGCAGGAAATAAAAAGCCCTTGAAGGCAATAAACTCTGATTTTCCAATCCCTTTATCTTTGAAACCCAATATTTCAAACTATGTATTTTATTAGAATTTATAATTTAAGTTGGATATATCAAAGGTTTACCCCCATCAGGTTGCAAATATAGAGGGATTAGAAAATTGTTTGTGGCAAAAACTAAATTACTTTTCCAAAAAAAATAGGAGAAGAAACTATTTAATTCGGTACACCTAAATACAAATAAAAATAAAGGAATTAAAAATTATTATGTAATGGTGGTTAAACAAAATGCTTTTGGCCTAGTTTAACATAAGTATAATAGATTAAAAGGTTTAGTCTTACTGCTGCTGCTGTAAGGCTAACTATTAGTACATTTTAAGATGATATTAATAATGAGGAATTTTCCATTTTCTTTTGCTTTCATTGATGGCTTTACAAACAATTTTTATAAATCGTATTATTTTGGAGCCAACATTTTTTGATTTTTGATCTACAGTAAGGATTTACGAAAAAATCGTTTTGACGTTTATTAGATACAAACAAACCCTCAACCAACCCTCAACAAAAAGTTCACATGGTTATAATATTTTGACAACTGAAAATTGTCTTGAGACGTGAAATATTTTGTTTAGTATGAATAACATGTGAAATATAAGATATGTACAATTACACGACACTGTGAACTGGGATAAGTATAGATTTGCACTTTTTTACATTTGAGAAAAAGATAGAAAATTATGATGATCTGTTTTTATTTGAATGTTTTAAGGATCCTCTTAGACTGAAAGAATATTTACGTTGCTGGATTCGATTTTTAAAATTTGATCTACACCCTCTCTGCGCTTTACAACGGCATCTTTGCATTTATCTGATAAAAATGTGGACGATATTGTCGTTTTTCTTGGATTAAAAGTATTTAATTCTGATAGTTCATATATAAGCAATGATATCTTATTCATACTTGATCAGAGCTGAAAACTTTAAAATGGAATATCCTTATCCACCGATCGGTTAATTAATCTGGAGATTGATAACAAGAGGAGAACACGCATTATTTAATCTGGAGATTAAGAAAAAGAGGAGATTAAGCATTGATCTCGATATCCACCATCCAAAAGTTTTCAGCTCAGGCAAAGTTTATAAGGGTACCGTTATGAATCTACCATTGCCATATTTGCATGGAGTGTCACAAAAACACGTTCTGCCATCTTTAATTTTCATCCTCTTATTATTTGAGGGTGTGTGTTCAGGTTCCAATATTAGAGAATTGGTATTCATCTAAACCTCTTTTTATATTTGGTATAACTCCCTTTAAGTATCTAATTGCCTACTATGCTTTTGCATTATGTAAAACAATAGTAATAACATTCCTATGCAGTATGTATGTTGTAAGTGAAATAATATCATTTATTTATATACGTTGATATTATTAGATGTGACAATATTTTCTTATAATAGAGTAATACCACCTTAAATAACAATTATTTTTGTAAAATCATGATATCTAAAAATTCTTGTGTTCGAAAATTATGGATCTTAAATCAGAGACTTAAAGGAACTGTAGAATCTCCAATTATAGAGAGGCATGTCCCATTCACATCTTTACCCTTGAAAGCTTTGTCTCATCAAGAAAAATTAGAAATAAACTATTTCTTTTTAAAATCTTGGTTCGTTTCAAATGCGGGTTCTCTTAGAAAGTAACTTGCGGATTTCTTACTACAGAAACAATTGAAGCAGTATTAAGGAATACTCTTTTTTTCAGCTAAACAAAGGACGTTATCTCTTTAATCATGAAGCAGTTGAAATTACAAAGAAAAGAGAAAAGTATTGATGAAGTCGATGAACCAACTTAATTTATTTCAAGTTGGAATATTTTCCTTCGATCTTTTGTATTTCAGTCTTTGTGAACATTTTACTTTGAAAATGGCAACTCTATTCTACTCTATTCTACTATATTCTACTCTATTCTACTCTATTCTACTCTATTCTACTCTATTCTACTCTATTCTATTCTATCTACTCTATTCTACTCTATTCTAGTCTATTCTATTCTATTCTACTCTATTCTACTCTATTATACTCTATTCCACTCTATTCTACTCTATTCTACTCTATTCTACTCTATTCTAGTCTATTCTATTCTATTCTACTCTATTCTACTCTATTATACTCTATTCCACTCTATTCTACTCTATTCTACTCTATTCTACTCTATTCTACTCTATTCCACTCTATTCTACTCTATTCTACTCTATTCTAATCTATTCTAATCAATTCTACTCTCTTCTACTCTATTCTACTCTATTCTTCTATTCTACTCTATTTAACTCTATTTAACTTTATTCTACTGTATTCTACTCTATTCTACTCAAATCTACTCTACTCTATTCTACTCTATTCTACTCAATTCTACTCTATTCTACTCTATTCTACTTTATTCTTCTATTCTATTCTATTTAACTCTATTCTACTGTATTCTACTCTATTCTACTCTATTCTACTCTATTCTACTCTAGTCTACTCTATTCTACTCTATTCTACGCAATTCTACTCTATTTTACTCTATTTTACTCTATTCTACTCTATTCTACTCTATTATTCTCTATTATACTCTATTATTCTCTATTATACTATATTCTATTCTATTCTACTTTATTCTATTATATTCTATTCTACTCTATTCTACTGTATTCTACTCTATTCTATTCTATTCTACTCTATTCTACTCTACTCTACTTTATTCTATTCTATTCTAATCTATTCTACTTTATTCTATTATATTCTATTCTACTCTATTCTACTGTATTCTACTGTATTCTACTGTATTCTACTCTAATCTATTCTACTTTATTCTATTATATTCTATTCTACTCTATTCTACTTATTCTACTGTATTCTACTGTATTCTACTGTATTCTACTCTATTCTATTCTATTCTACTCTATTCTACTCTACTCTACTCTATTCTATTTTATTCTTCCAACAACTTGAAATCTATGAATCCAATTCTCTTATACTACTCCTTCAACTAATCTCATATCTAAATCAAATCTCAACTCTCAGGTTGGGTTTCTCTTCGAAGATACTTGAAATCTCAAATTTGTCAGCATTAATCAGCTTTTCTTCTAACACTTAATCTCCCTACCCCGGTATTCTTCTTCACACTCTGCTGGCTCACTACCCCGGTATTCTTCTTCACACTCTGC